CAACAGGGTCGCTGGTTCGATTCCCACATGGGCCAGTGAGCTGTCAACAGGTGAGCTGAGCTGCCAACAGGTGGAAGGATCACTCAGCTGGTGAGAGCACGTGCTCCTAACAACAAGGTTGCAGGTTCGACTCCTGCATGAGATGGTGGCTAAGCCCACCTGCAACTAAGATTGAACAGGCACCTTGAGCTGAGTGGCCACAAGCTGCCAACAGGCAGCCAGATGGTGACTGGACTTGGAGCTGAGCTAGCTGCGCCCTCCACAACTAAGATTGAAGGACAACATCTTGGCTGTTCCCCATCCCCAATTCCCCAATACTGTTCCCCTTCCCCAATTCCCCAATAAAATCTTAAAAAAAAAAAAAGAATAGGGGCGCCAGAGTGAGTTAGACCTGAGCCCATACTGGACAAATATCTGAGCCTCACTTTCCGTATCTGAAGATGGGAATTAAAAACAACTACATCTAATAAAATGAGATGAAAATTAAATAAAATAATGCATGGAAAGCATGTGCCACAATGCCTGACAATAAACATTATCTATCATTACCAGCAGTTAACTTGCCTGGGGTTACATAGAAACTGTGAAGTTCTGAATTCCACCCCAGCTATATCAAAGGGAAGGTCTTAAAGCTGAAGCAGGCCTGAGTAGATGTACACCCCCAGGTCTCTGGCTCTCTTGGGGGTCAATATGGTGTCAAATGCAAGAATGAAAGTGCATACCAAAGTGACAGAATGCACATGACTGCTTGTGTGAAAAACAGCAGAACTGCCCTGGCAAAGGCAACTTTATATAAAACCCAATTCCAGTGTGAAGGAATAGAGAGTGACCTTTCAAACTTCCTGGTTTTGCCCTGAGAGAACAAACCCATCAGAGATGACCAGAGGTCCCAAAAGGGGCCTTTCTGCTACCCCCAAGTCTTCCAGAAGTGCAGGGTGGCCCAGTGTGCACATCCCTGGGCCACCCTTTCTTTGTGTCCAGTCCCCAGGCTGGTGCTAAGCAGCAGGGGCTGTCACCATGGCAATAGCTGGGGCCAAGCTCTGGCTGGAGGGAGCTCTCAGCAGCAGGGACTTGACCAGCTCAGTGGGGAAGGAGGTGGCTGGCTAGACTCCAATGTCCTGTAAGACAGAGACCAGCTGGAAAGAGCCATCTTGGGGCTTTGTTGGGAGAAGGGAATTGGGCCCCATAGCAGGTAATAGGGTCAGGCTAGTCCCTCAGCAGAAACACATTTTTCCGCATTCTGCCATCTGGTGCAGTCAGCAGTAAATGGGAAACCCTTATCTAAAACCCTGTCTTTCAGGACCCTTCTCAGCCCCCTCTTCTGATCCCCCTAAATCATGTGACACTGTTTCTGACTCAGGGCCAGATGTGTTGTCTGCCGGCCCTCACACTCTTTGTCTAGGAGAGAGGGAGCTGCTTGCAGAGCTGAGGGTGGGGCTGGAGGTGCCAGCTGGCTTCTTGTCCCACAGCACAACCAGGCTCAGGGGGCAAGGGGTGGGTGGGAAGCAAGGAAACCACACAACAGAGATCCAGTCATCCCCCTGGCCCAGAGGCACCACCCTTTGCCAGAGTGATTGAGAATCTCTGCCTGCCCTTAAAAACTCACCACAGCCAATTACAGTTCTGAATATCACTTTACTGAATCACTTAAAATACGTATCTGCTCTTTCTTTCTGTGGCTCCCATGTGCCTCACTGTTTTTTCACATGTTAAATTTTCACTAGAGTGTATAACTTTCTACAAAGATGGTCTCTGATTAAATCCTAACACAGCTAAAACAAAAAATGGCAAAGTAAAGAGATGCCATGGGTCTGTCACAGGGTAAGTTACTTCCATGTGTGGGCCTGTAACTATATAGCAGTTGCTCTGTCTCTATTTATGGTAGGTAGAAGAGTGTCCCCCCAAAGATGTCCTGTCCTAATGCCCAGAATCAATGAATGTGCTAACTTATGTGATCAGAGGGACTTATGCAAACGTGATTCAATTAAGGATCTTGAGATGGGGAGATTATCCAGGTGGGCCCAATCTAATCACAAGGGACCTTATAAGAGAGAGGCAAGAGGGTCAGAGTCCGATGGAGGTATGCAGGACAATGGAAACAGGTTGGAGTGATGTGGTAGAATAGAATGTGGGCAGCCTCTAAAACAGCGGTTCTCAACCTGTGGATCGCAACCCCTTTGGGGGTCGAACGACCCTTTCACAGGGGTCGCCTAAGACCATCAGAAAACAAAAAGATATTTATATTACCATTCATAACAGTAGCAAAATTACAGTTATAGAGTAGCAACGAAAATAATTTTATGGTTGGGGGTCACCACAACATAAGGAACTGTATTAAGGGGTCGCAGCATTAGGAAGGTTGAGAACCGCTGCTCTAAAAGCTGGAGAAGACAAGGAAGTGGATTCTCCCCTAGCGCCTCCAGAAGGAACCATCCCTGCCGACACCTAGATTTTAGGCCAGTGAGACCTTTTTTGGACCCTTACCTCTAGAACTGTTTAAGAAAATTAATGAGCTGTAGTAAGCCATTAAGACTGTGGTAATTTGTTACCGCAGCAATAGGAAACTAATACACTACCCAAATCCATTTCANCAACAGCGGTTCGAGGCCAGCCCGAGCTGAGCAGCCGCTAAGCTGCCAATAGGTAGCAGGATGGCTCAGCTAAAAAAAAAAAAAGGAAGGGGGATTTTGACACATCCTACAATATGGATGAACCCTGAAGACATGCTAAGTGAAAGAAGCCAGTCACAAAAGGACAAATGCTGTATGATTCCACTTATAAGAGGTACTAGAGCAGTCAAACTCATAGAGACAGAAAGTAGAAAAGTATTTGCCAGGAGCTGGGGGAGGGGGAAATGGGGAGTTAGTGCTTAATGGGTACAGAGTTTCAGTTGGAGAAGATGAAAAAGTTCTGGAGATGGGTGATGACGATGGTTGTACAATACTGTGAATATACTTAGTACCACAGATCTGTACACTTAAAAATGGTTTAAAATGGTAAATTTTATGTTATGTCTATCTTACCACAATTTAAAATTTTTAACTTCTGCGTAGATTTCATATTTTAAAAAATCTTCCCATTCCCTCATCCCCCTGTAAGCAGCCACTTGTAACGGTTTCTCACATATCCTTTTAGATTTCTTTTACAAATATGAATACACGTTCTTTCCGCCTCCATTTTTTTACACAAATGGTAGATTACTATGTATGCTGTTCTGTGCCCTTAAAAGTGTTTTTAAAGCAGTCTGCATGTATGGTTTTTGCCAAACCCCTTCCCAGAATCCATTACCCTGGCAGGTAATGGAAAAGCCCACAGGCCTGGGCGGTGAGGCCTTTCTTGGGATGGCACTGACTTGCTCACAGGTTCCCAGACAACTAGCTGACCCCCGCCCCCCCCACACACACACACATACACACACACACACACACACACACACACACACACACACACTCTCTTAGTCCATACCTCCTTCTGGCCAAAATCAATGAGATTCTGCAGGTCCAAGTCATCTCGGTAGTGTACAATGGCATTATTGATTAACTCACTCACTTTCCCTCGTGCCTGCCAGAGACATGAATAGGGAATCAGAACACAGAACTAACCCCTAACCTCCTCTGTGCAGAAATAAGAGTCAGCAGTGGTCATCTCTCTTTCTTTAAGTCATCCTTGAAATCATAACCAAGTCCTAGTGATGGAAGATGGCCAGTTCTAAAGCCCATTCATCCCCGGGCCCTCAGGTACCAGTGGACCTGCTATTGCCATTTCTCAGGGCCACATTTTCATGAAAATCCATTACTTATCTATAATACTTCTGAATACTATTTGCACAAACTGCTTGCTGATTGATGCAAAGCAGAGAAACTTAAGTAGAAAAAGGCTTACTGAGCTGAGGCACTGGCCTCTAGTGGACATAAGAGAATTGCATCTTTTTAGACTCAAAACAGATCTACACCTATCATTTTAGGATTTTACTAAGCCAGGACTAGAGCATCTGAATAAACACAGTGTCTCTCAATTTCGTAGTTTATACCATGCTCTCTTCCTTCTTGCTATGCTACTTTTCTCAACGTTCCCTACCCATAGTCCTCTACTCTGCCCCCAGCAATCATCTGCTCTTTGGGAAAGGAATTCTGGTTCGTAATTAAAAGGACTGTCACTGCATGTCAGACCACATCTAGATATGGTAAGCACCATTCAAAATATCACTTTTCCCCTTCCTTCCTTCCATTTATCCCAATAAACAGCTTTTTCAAAGAAATAAAAAGCTCTTCATGTTTGTGGTCCACTTGACAATGAGTTTTACACAATCATTTGCCATTCAAATTTGCAGATTATTTTAACTTCGTGTTCATAGAATTTACTTCCCTGTTGGACTCTTGGGCTGTCAGAGGAAAATACTCTACAATCTGAAATCCTCTTTAAATATGGTGACTTTAAAGGCCATTCATTCCTCCCTAAGAAGAACCTTTCAAAGGCTGATGCTTCTTGGGGGAAGGAGTGCTGTGCTTAGTTAATCAGGCTAGGCACAGGCAGGGACTATCCCTTCCTCCCTCTAGTTCACATCTGAGGAGGCCCCTAGGATCCCAATGCTACCTTGTCTGAGAAGACGAAGCCCAGGACCCCAGCAGCCAGCTGTAGCAGGAACACGATGGTGAGGCAGATGGAGAACTGTGGGGAGCAGGCAGGAAAGAGAGAGTTGTTACCATGTTGAGCAGTAGCCCCTTCCAGGGTGGGAATTACTGGGGGACCACACGGTACTTCTCCCAGATGTCCCCCACACGGTAAAGGCTGCTGTCTCTGGGACACTATCTTGGGGGCGGCCACCCTGTGCAGGATCACCTGGGCTGAACTCTGCAGTGAAGAGTGGACAGCACAGGCCTTGGGGAAAGGGTGGGACAGAGGAAACCGAAAGGTTATTGTAGGAATGGCCTCAGGAGACTGAGAGGCACAGGGAAGAGGGGGTCAGGGTTTTTCTGGTGGGGCCCCTGACCACTCACTGTCTGCAGGAGGCAGATGTTCTCGCGGAGGGATCCAATACAGCCACAGAAGGTGAGCAGGAACATGAGGACGCCCACCACGAACAGAAGGATGGCTGGGTCCACTGCCAGGCAGGCCAAGGCCGCTTCTGGGGGAAGGGGCTGTCTCTCAGTCTGAGCTTGGTGCCGACTCAGGGTGGTACCCGGGGATGGGGTGGGGGTGCCCCTCCAAATGCTCTCCTCCCCTAGTGGAGGGCTCTTCATTGTGGTTGGGTGAAGGTTATGGGGAGGCAGTACTGCCTCCCATGGGAAGAACGAAAAGGGCCCAGCAGGGTTTGTGGCATTTAATTTGAGGAACTGACAGAGTAAGAGCCTTTATTTCCAGGCTTAAGAGAGGAGGGACCACTTTCGCTCCAGAAAAGAATTAGAATGGCATTAGGCTCGCCAGCTTTGCTGATCCGTTTCCTGGAGACTTTGTACAGTGGAATAGGAATGGAGGCTGAGTTACTGCAGGACAAAGCGAGGGAGGGGCTGACGCCTCTGATTATCCTCTGCTCCCAGAAGCCTACCTTCTTTCCTAGACACTTCCTAAACCTAAAAGGTAGGTGTATTTGGAAGACTCATGGGAGCTCTGGAAAATCCAGGTGAACTGGCATGAAATCAAGCTGCTAAGATTTGGCTAGAGGGCGGCTGCCCCCTGTAGCCTCCACAGCTTATGTGGGAAGCAGCGCTACATGGAGGAAGGGGACAGAAGAGGAAGGGGCCTGGCAAGAGTCGTGGGGAGACATAAGGGGACCTACAGCTCACCTGCATGCTTCATCAGCCGAGCATAGATGCCTATGGACACCATCACCATGGAAATCACCTGTGGAGACAGGGAAGCAGCCGGATCCTGAGATTCTGGAAACCAGAGGCCTGATGGCGGTGAGTAACCTTAAAGGAGAGCAGGAAAACTTTCCCAGGGCCCAGAGATAAACATCTTTCTCCTCTCCAGTAATCCAATTGATAGTGTCTATCAGTGCTTTACCTCCATGGAAAGATCTCACCAAGATTAGCTCATTC